AGAATCTTCGTGACATTTGTTATGGTCCATGTAGTCTTAAGAACTGGCCCAGGAAATAAAATTGCGACTGAATTACCGCAATCTTTCTGTTTTGGGAGTAATAAAAGCTGCATGTAATACCCAAATATTTAGAGTTTTTGTCCATGTAAGAATCAGTTCTTTGTCAGATTGCTTCCAATTAGGAAGAAGTTCTTATAAATGTAATATTATGTTACTGTCTTTCTGAAAAGACATATATTAGTTCAGGAGTTCCCAAGCTTATGGGGGATTACACTTGAAATTGTCGGGGGGGGGGGGGTAGTAAATACACATTACTACTATGGTACTCAATATCTATAGATTAACTGGGTATGGGTGACTGTGGGGTCTCAGTCAGAATACGGAATGTTTTGGGGGCGAGGGGGGCTTGTGCTGAGAAAGGTTGGGAACCCTTGTATTAGTTAACACAATAGGATGTAAACTGGAGCAACATATTTGCTGAAACTGACAGAGTTAATATTTTCGCTGTAATAAGAAAATTTCAGAAAATAGGGTTAAATATGTTGAGTAAAGTGATCTTGAATACATTGTGGTTAATAAACGTTTTGTAAGCATTGTGTAACGCGACATTGTAAAAGGTATAGTGTATGCATGTACAACGAAATTCTTATATTACTGTCTAACATTTCAAAACGTACGTTTACAATGACTTTTTGTAACCAAAACTGCTAAATATTGGTTAATTCTGCTATGATTGTTTCTCACGACTAGCAGGAATGCTACAACTTTCGTAATCCCTATAAAGTAAGAATGTATAATCATCACCCCTAAATACATCACCGGTACAGTTTAATTAAGGTTCGTTATTATTTTCTGACTCATTTTAGGTTAATTCGGTTTAAATCATTTAGTTTTATGTGGTTTCTTTGTTTGAAGTTAACCACAAAACTACACAATGGGCTATCTGTGCTCTGCCCACCGTGGGTATCGAAACCTGGTTTCTAGCGTTGTAAGTCTGCAGACATATCGCTGTGCCACTGGTGGGCAGTTTTATGTGGAAACGAAATTAGAAACAGTTTGTCAGACTAAACACAGGTTATATACCAGGCCTACGAAAAGTGAACGTACTAAATATACATTGAATATGTTTAAATTTACAGTATTGCTTAATGTCTTCAGCATGGAAAGTCGTTTGAAAATAGCACCAATCGAGAAAGGTAGACTTGTTTGTAATTTAAGCACAAAGCTACACAATGGGCTATCTGTGCTCTGCCCACCATGGTTATCGAAACTCGGTTTCTAGCGTTGTAATTCCGCAGACATACCGCATGTGACACTGGGGGGCAAAGGTAGAATTAGTAATAACTGAAGAACATCTATAATATGTTCGAAAAATATAGAAAAACTGAAATATATATGTTACTAATACAATATTTTTATTATTTTGGTGATATTAACCTTTTGGTATATTTGTCGTTACATTTTGACCATGTGTTTTCTGGTATTCTGTTCGTCGGTAATTGTTAAAAAAAATGTGCTTCAAAGTAAACTCGTAGTAAGTTGACACAAAATTGTATATGTTGATGAAGATGTAATATCTGGTTTGTGTGAAGTACAAAGCGAGACAGAAGGTTATCCATGTTTACAATTTTTAAGACTTGTTTGTTTATTTTGCAACAAAAATCTGTTACTCAAGATAAGAAGAAAGCATAGTATTAATGCATATGGAGATGAAAGACATGTAGTTAACGTTATTGGAAGTGGACATGATACAGTACTGATATCGGAGATATGATGGAGAAGAGTAGGTATATTTACCGCTGTTTGATAACCATGGTTGTTATAAAAAGTACACAGAATCAGGAAATGATGAACAAAGAAAATACACAAATCAACTGACGGGAGTAGAAAATCGTCAGAGAAAATACTGCATGTCCAAAGGTGATTATATCAGTTGTCGATGATGCACTGATAAAGTACAAAGCTATTGATATAAATTATCGTATTAATAAGAAATAACTTTATCCTGGAGCTTTACAAAATTACAAAGTTCAGAGATAAAGAAAATATTGCCAGATATTTTTTATTTTTTTACCAAAGGTAAAAAATCAACTATACCTAACAAAACGTATTCATCTAACATCTACAACAATGAAGTATTAGAGACAATAAAGACAAACATTTTATAGGTGATCAAGTACTGTTTCGTGGATCTCTGACGAAGTTACTTCTAATTTGGGCCCGGCATGGCCAGGTGGTTAGGGCGCTCGAGTCGCAATCTGCGGGTCGCGGGTTCGAATCCCCGTCCCACCAAACATGCTCGCCCTTTCAGCCGTGGGGGTGTTATAATGTGACGGTCAATCCCACTATTCGTTGGTTAAAGAGTAGCCCCAAGAGTTGGCGGTGGGTGGTGATGACTAGCTGCCTTCCCTCTAGTCTTACACTGCTAAATTAGGGACGGCTAGCGCAGATAGCCCTCGTGTAGCTTTGCGCGAAATTCAAACAAACAAACTTCTATTCTCTGCAATGGACTGCATGGGTCCTTATTTGGAAATGTTATACAGGCAATTTATTTTTGCAAGAAACAGACAAACCAGTAAACACATTCAAGATATTAAAATGACATTTTCTATGCAATGCAGTATTTTCGTGGACTAACTCTAAAGAGGTTCCTTTGTCAGAGACTCACTAAACTGCATTGGTTACCAAAGTAAAGGAGACCAATTGTAATGAAACGATCAGTTTAGAAAGAAAAGATTCAGTTGATAAAAGTGTTCACCGTTGTATTTTGTCAAATGCACAAAATCTTATAATTTACTTTAACGGTAGCATGGCCGGGTGGTTAGGGCACGTGACTCGCAATCTGCGGGTTCGAATCCTCATCCCACAAACATGCTCGCCCTTTCAGCCGTGGGGGCGTTATAATGTGACGGTCAATCCCACTATTCGTTGGTAAAAGAGTAACCCAAGAGTTGGCGGTGGGTGGTGATGACTAGCTGTTTTCCCTCTAGTCTTTCACTGCTAAATAAAGAACGGCTAGCGCAGATAGTCCTCGTGTAGCTTTGCGCAAAATTCATAACAAACAAACAAACGTTAATGGTACAATAAAAAATGATAGGACAATCCAACAGAGGCTTTAAAAGACAACGGTTTAAGTTTGTGCTCAAGAAAATATTTTCAGTTAAACACAATACAGTAAAGATAAATAAGTCATAACAGAAATTTTTCAGACTTTTGTTAGGACAAGTGAAGAAAAATTCAAGACTTTTGCGAATTGTTGGTTTCGTCGTGCAAAGGTACACAATGGGTATCTGTACTTTGTTCACTGCAAGGAATCGAAATCCGGAAATTTAGCATTGTAAGTCCGAAAACTTTCCGCTGACCAAACGGGGGACAAACTTTGCGAGTATTTGTTTGTTTGTTTCAAGTTATGCACAAAGCATTGGAAAAAAAAAGGGGGGGGGGAGGTTGTATCCTCAAAGTACCACCTGACCTGCCGGTGGAAAAGATTGTTACCTATTTTCACCTAATATTCAACTTTAAAGAAATCCTTCTTAATAGGTAACTAGGGTGAAAGGAACTTGGCTAACTCCTTGTCCAACTTTCTTTAACAAAAACACATACATTTATATGTACGACAAATGTGATAAATACTCTTTGAAATCAGGGGGGATAGAAAACACGTAGGATGGTTACATATTACAGAGTATGAAGAAAAAAATATTTTCCTTGATCACGTCTAACATTGGCCGAACTAAACAGAATGCTTACTTCTAAACCTCGAAATCAATAATTTGTCTTTATATTTTCACACATGATATTCATTTCTGATGCTTCTGGTTGAAACACTTAAAGTACATTGCAGGTTGTCCTTTGCATTTATTTCAGTATAAAAGAAATTGGGATACCTTTTTAAATGAAGTTTTTTTCTGTAATATATTTCAATAAAATTTTGCTTCTGCATGTCTTTTAATTGAAGGTTTTGTCTTAACTTATTTAATGACGGGAATTTACTTTCAATAACAACAACAAGAAACTTGACATATTTTGTTTCCCATGTAATTAATTGCGTGTACCTTTAATATAAGTAGTACTCTTTAGTAATTAGGCTTAATATAAACTGATGTAAAACCTGCCTGGCATTTTTTAATTAAAACTTTCTAGTATTATTAGTTACACAGCACTTTAGCAGTTATACCAAATCACTAACTTTGAATGTTCTTTATGCACCTTCAGAACAATAAAAATCCCCAAATTGGTTCATGAATTAAAGAAATAAAACTTATCCAAAGTTTACGGGAAGTATTTAAATTGAGAAGCGCGAATAGTTGCATAGATATTGGAAATCACGAAACATCCTTTTAATATTTACGGAATAAATATTAGTTTTAAAATTATCTATATGATTTCTAGATTTATGACTTATATTACTCTGCTTTTCCTTTAAACACTGTATCAAATTCCGTCTAAGTTGTGTTTGGTTCTTATATTTTACAGGTGGTAGGAGATAAACAATGTGCAATAATTATAGTTGTATTTTCTCTATGCAGCACACTTGTGATTTTGATTTTATTTTTGTAGTTTTGTTTTTCTTGTACTTGTTATAGGCTCTTAGTCAAGAAATCGGCGCAGATGTAAATATACAAACTTTGTTAAATCAAGGAACCAAAGGAGCTTGGCGAGGGCGCGCTCAACAAATCATAAACTTGCAGAATCGTGTAGCTGAGCTAATGGGTCAATTACAGAAGCAGACCGCTAATCTAAAGCTAGAAGACGGATCTGATAAAGTGAGCTCAATAAACAAAATAACAATGGCTACTAATCAACCCGTTGGTGTAACACTGGAACACCGAGCTCGACTTCATCGGTTAGAGCAGGAGAAAAAACAAGCACAGCAGGTAGGTTATCCCCTGACGGATAATATTTACTGATAATTGTTTGTTTGTAATTAAGCACAAAGCTACACAAT